TTTGCTTGATTGGTTTCAAACCAAGGAATGAGAATTCTATCTTGGCTCATAATGTCAAGTATTGGATTCTTGTTGGTTAGATGGTTCTTATCCCTAACTTTTACCTTGTGCTTTAGGATAGTCACTTCTTCTCCTCCCATCTTCTTTAATTTCAAAAATCTTCTTTCCCTTTTTGAAAAATCTTCTTATTTTTGGACTCGAACCATTTTCATAATAAATTTGGACTTATGTCCACGCATTTTCAAAACATTTTCATAAATAAACTCCAATCAACTTAATGATACCTTGACATTTTTTGTGAGAAGACTAAAAGACAACCAATCTCATTTCAAACCATTTTGCCACTTTGGCTTTTCATATTTAAAATTTTTCTTAAAAGATTAAACTCTTGTCAATCCTCGTAGTGATGCAAACAACTATACTTCTACAATATGTAGTGAAGAGAGATATTTTTCCACTTGGATGTTGAGTGAGACATTGTTGATTTTGAAATCCAATCCATATCCTCCACTTTGAGATGATGCAAATTCTCCTTTCTCATGATCGTGGGTAGTATGTGTGTTTTCCACATGGACAATGACGATGATGTTTTATCTTATAAAATTAACCAACACATTTGGGTTTTAAATTTTTGAAAGAGGAACTACGTGTACCCTGATCCCTTATTGCACGAAAAGGTGGTACGTAGGCACTAAAGGTTCACAACCACGGCGGGTGAAAAAATTATAAAATAAATATATTTCTTATCTCACCTCCACCATCCATTTTTTTTATATATACAACATTTTTTTAGATAGCCAAAATATACAGATTTTACAAAGAGGCTCCTGCGGAGTACCGTAAATGTTTAGGGTGCTAATACCTTTCCTTTGCATAACCAACCCCCTCACCTTGAATCTTTCCCCCTCTTTTTGGGTTATTCGCTCTTTTCCCATTCATTTGGAAACAACAAAGCGTGGTGGCGAATTTTATTTTGATTTGTATAAAGTCTTGTCAATCCAACGGCTTAGTCTTGAACATTTCTACCGCTACACTTGGTAGCAGCATCCTCTGAATAGTTTGTATTATAAAACAACATAAGCTTTTCTCGAGAATAGATTGGTGAAGAGAGTGTCTGGACGATACCAAATTGTCGAGAGACAAGATTCGGTTGATAAGCAATCAAACTGAGTTGATTCTTCGAACTCTTGAATCTCAGTGGCATGATTCTTGGGCGAAGAAACGACTCCCAGATAGCCACATTGTCATCTTCATCAGATGAAGGATATGGTCGAATAAACCATTCTGGACCATCCTTTCTACTAGCAAAGGGAGCCATGGTCGAAACAAATTCCTTACGCTTTGCAAACATCATTACAAATCTAATAAACGCTTTCTGGAATTGTTGACCCTCATCAGTTGGAGTCAACAAGACTAATCTAGTGCATTCGACCCTTCTGTTTAAGACTTTTGGGGCCCTCTCATTAATCTTATTCTTCTAAGGAAGAAAAGATTCAAAAGTGACGTTGATCCAAAGTTGAAGAAGCCAAAAAGGGCTAGAAAGGAGCAAACTCGCCTTGTCTCCAATAACTTTAAGCTGAGTCACACCATTGCTGATGGACTCATACAGGTTGGCTAAAATAAATTCAGCCAGACAAAGGGGATATCCATGATGAAGTTGCGTCGCAAGGGTGAGCATATTCTTAGTCACTTGAAGTGACTTAGTGCAGAAAATGGAGCGAGATAACCACAAAGCTAGGAAAGATATGTGTTCCACTTTAGAGACAATGCTACTAGACTTGTCGTGAAAGTGGTTGATGAATATGGTGTATGTGGGTTTCATAGTCGAAAACCCGATAGCATCTTTAGACAAATCTTCTGGGTCGAAATAGTCACCAGTTGGTCGAAGACCATTAATGGAGGCTATGTCGAAAAGAGTTGGGGTCACCATTCCACAGGGCAAATGGAAGGTGAAATGCGTACTATCCCAGAAATACAGTGAAGATACCAACATGAGAGGGCAATAAGATAACCTAGTCTTTGACAGCATGACCAAGTCATAAATCCCCATATCCTTCCATATTTGGGCCTGCACTTTTCCATCTTACTCAGCCATTATGAGTACTCTGAAGTAAGACTAGGGAAATATCGAAAGATCCTATTCCCATTGTTCATAAACTAAAGGTTGATGTCTTCCTTCGTTTGAGAGTGTTGCTGGTTAGTAGAGGTTGCATCCTTAGGGTCATTCCTGAGTTTCTTCGTGTAACCTATAGGCTTGAGCCTAGGGTGAGTTGGGAAGAAGGTGTTATTTTGTTTTGGGTTCTCGAAACATGTAGATATGGGGCCAGACATCGTATACATGTTCCCAGAATACTTAACAGGAATGAGTAACTGAGAGTCATAAGCTTCACGCCATTCTCTGGTCATGGGTTCAAAAATAACCCTTCGCCCCCCAGTCGAAACAGGGACAGGGGTAGTGGAAAAGATCTCTGGTTGTCGTTGTAATTCAGAAACATTCTTAGTTTTGGGATTGTTTGGTGCGTTTGAAAGGAAAGCCATGGTTGAAGGTAGTGAAAGAGCGAAAAAGATGAAGTTCTTAAGACTTTTCTTTGCAAGGAAATAAAGAGTATTAGGAGTTGTAAAAAATTCCAAAGAAAATGATTCGTGGCTATTTATAGTGTTCATGGAAGAGTGTTTTCCCTCAAGACCATTTAATGTTGCAGGGTTAGTGGGGCATGTGGCAAACGTTGTGGAAGTTATCGTACAGGTAATGGAAACATTTTCCATACTTTCCTAGGTTGTAGGGATAATGGCCATCATGGCAGCATAGTAACGGCTGATTGACAGCGACGTATTGGGAAAAAGGTAATGATGACTCTGAATACCAGCAGTGGTTGGTAGAAGGCAAAAAGCGCATGATTGACTTATGTGGTAAAAAAGAAGACATGTGTCGAATGGGAATCTCAAAGAATGATCATTTCTTCTTGCGTCGAAATTGACATTCTTGGGGGGCAATTTGTTAGCTCCTAAATTTGACACCCACAATAAATTGGCCTTATGGGCCAAAAATAGATTGAATAAATCTAAGCTGGAAATACTTCGACAGCTTGGAAAAATACTTAGAGAAATTTCTGAGTTAAAGTTAATCTTCGACCAGAAGGTTCTTGCGGCCTTCGACTGAAAGGGCTCCAAGGCCTTCGACTAAAAGAAAATCTCGTATCAGCAACAGGTGATTTTGAATCTGAAGAAAGGAGGGAAATCAGTTCGCTTAGCAGTTGAGAAAAGTAACGTGGCATGGAGATAGAGGTCGAAGCATATGAAGAAGACACTTGTCCTCATCCTAGAGCAAAGCAACTCCTTGACGGTTACCTAGTTTTTAGTATAAATATAGGGAGTTTATGTAGATTTTCGTGTGTTCAACTAACTGTACAAATCATTCAATACTATTCGAGTACCCGCTGCGTGAGAAAGAATATTGAAAATGTACGTTTGAAACACCACATTTTATAATCAAAGTCTTTTACATTTCTCTTTACATTCCTTGCCTTTTTATCTTGCTTGCAAACATTTATTTTCCCTTGCACTTTACTTGCACTTTTTATCTGATTCATGCACTTAAACTCTTCTCAACCCTTTTTCTATTTACCTTATACACTCAAAATCATTTTAAACCTCAACATTTCTCAGTCGAACGTGTGTTCTTTATTTATATTAGCATTTATGTCCAAACAACGCCAAAAATTAGCATATGTCTTAGGATCAAACTGATCGATCCTGCAAGTAACAAAAAAATTACCCTTTTTGAAGGATCAACGATTGTTTACCAAATAACACAGTAAACAGTATCTCATAAGATATGTTGGTCATATAAAAAGACCCCAATGTTAAAATGTTCTCTCGTGCTGACCACAAAGTATTGATGAACTAACATACTTGATTATTTTTGTTAAATGTGACAAACGATTAATTCGTCTAATTTAGATCCTCCTTATAAAAGTCCATAAAATAACCAAGTTAGATAGGATAGACATTAACGTAAGCGCGCGCTTAAAAATTTAAATCGTCCAATAAAAAAATAAAGGTGAGATGGACTACATACATTGCATCTTTTTATAATTGCAAATATTTATATTAATGTTTGCGGTTGTAAAAACTAAAAAAAATAAGATAGATAAAATAAATATATTAAAAGATATATATTTAAAATCTTAATTTATCTTAAAAAAATAAAAAATATAATAAACATATGTCCGACAAATCGGATCAATTTTATCAAATCTATTTACTATTTAAGTATCAATTTGCTCCTGAAATCTACAAATACTATTTGAATTATGAATTTTGTTAAGATTTTAGTAAGTATTTCACGTAATTTTTTTTATATATATATAATGACTTCCTCTAATTTTATCAAAAAAATAGAATTCATTTTATAACTATTTACAACTAATATATATAGCTTAAATATAAATAAAGATACATTGCTTATTTAATACATTCAAAAAATATTCTTATTTTTTTACAATAAAGATGAGACAAAGTAATAGGCATCCGTTGGATGGAAAAATGATTCACTGATCTAGATAGACTCTTGTTCTTTTTAACTTTCACAAGTAGTCGAGTACAAGTGATTCTTCGTACAATGTTTTATTTTTCATTTTAAAAATAAAAATTATTTTACATGTTTTATTTGACTTTATGCAATCTAGGGATTGCCACGACCGTATCTGATCCAGATAAGATCAAGTGCAGGATGCGTTTTGGCACATAACACATGGCAATTCCCAAGAGGTGAATAACTCATGTGGTCCCCACATTTCAACTCTAAGACAAATATTACCGTACCAATTTCAACCCATATGTTCACTATAAATAACACCCCATCTCTACCGTTTACAGAGAAAAAAAAAAAAGAAGAAAAAGAAAATTCAAAGAGATAACATTTCTTCTCTCTAAAAAAAATAGTTTCATCGACATCTTCAACTCAAATAACTTCATTGTTTTTTCACAAAAAAACAATGATGGGAGTTCAAGAAAATGACACACTTTCACAATTGAGTTTACCACCTGGTTTTAGATTTTACCCAACCGATGAAGAGCTTCTTGTTCAATATCTTTGTCGCAAAGTTGCTGGTCATCATTTTTCTCTTCAAATTATTGCTGAAATTGATCTCTACAAATTCGACCCATGGGTTCTTCCAAGTAAGCCTCGTCAAAATCAAACCAATTCCTCTAACTATTTCTCTATAGCATAGACACCTCAAAAATGTGTATCGGTGTGTGTTTCTGAAATTGACACGATAGTTAGGGTATTACATGTCATTGTTAGTATCGTGTTTTCCAGTATCAAACTAATTTTGATTATGGTTAATTTGTACAGGTAAAGCGATTTTCGGAGAGAAAGAATGGTATTTCTTTAGCCCGAGAGATAGAAAGTATCCAAACGGGACTAGACCCAATAGAGTAGCTGGATCTGGATATTGGAAAGCTACTGGAACTGATAAGATTATCACAAACGAAGGTAGAAAAGTTGGTATCAAAAAAGCACTTGTTTTCTATGTTGGAAAAGCTCCTAAAGGCACCAAAACTAATTGGATTATGCATGAGTATCGTCTTCTTGATTCTTCTCGAAACAACGGCGGCACCAAGGTATTCAATTCAATTGAGAGAATCTTAATATTTTTAATTAATACTCATTCATTACATGTCATGAAAATAATCTTTTAATATTTTTTCACTGTTTTATTAAATTATTATTGAATTGCAGTTAGATGATTGGGTTCTGTGTCGAATATACAAGAAAAACTCAAGTGCACAAAAAGCGAATCCAAACGGCGTCGTTTCGAGCAGAGAATACACACAATACAGCAACGGTTCATCTTCGTCTTCTTCCTCTCACATCGACGAAGTTCTGGAATCACTTCCAGAGATCGACGACCGTTGTTTCATGCTGCCACGTGTCAATTCACTGAGAACGATGCAGCATCGTCAACAAGAAGAAGAGAAGGTGAATCTTCAAAACAGTTTCATGGATTGGTCTAATCCGTCGTCGATTTTGAACACTGTGACGGAGTTTCAGGAACCGCAAACGCAAGGAATGGTGAATTTTGGTGGTTGTAATGAGGTTTATGTACCTTCTGTTTCCACGGTGCCGGAGAAGAAACTGACGGAGGAGGAGGTTCAGAGTGGGGCGAGAGCGAACCGGGTTGAGAATTCTGGTTTATTTCCAGGAATGGGGTATTCTAATTCAGTTGACCCGTTTGGTTTTAGATACCCGGTTCAACCGGTTGGATATGGGTTCGGGCAATAAACTTGATAGGAAAATTTGTTTTTTTTGGTTGTTTGTAATAGTGATTAGTGAATGTGCATGTGGTGTAAATAGGTGGGGATTCTTTTAGCCTAACAAGTTCGGTTTAGGAAAGTGGAAAAATTTGAATTTTGGTCCTCGTTTTCGGCTAGGGATATATTTGGCGGTGGATGAAATTAACATTCTATGAATCTAGGTTTGGGATGTTGAAAATTTATTTGGTTAGGAATCGATGTAGTTTTAGGCTACACCAGCTTATGATTAGCCACATGAATCACGTTTTGTTGTATTTGAAAATTAAATAGATATTGCATTTGTTTGCAATGTTAGGCTTTGGTTTCAATCTTGATGCGGTCCTTTTAGCTAACCACATCAATGCTACATACATAAGTAATGCAATATTATTCAATAATATATTCAAGTTTTGTTAAACTTTTTTTACAATGGGAAATCACAAGTTGACTTAAATGATTTCGTTGGACGCGAGAAGTCAAGAGTCTAAGTAATCTAAAAAAGTTGTGAAAAGTTATTGAGAGAATTCTACTTGTATGATGAATAGCCTGATTCAGAAGTCAAGAGTCTAAGTAATCTAAAAAAATTGTGAAAGGTTATTGAGAGAATTCTACTTGTATGATGAATAGCCCGATTCAGACTCGTGCATATATGGTAGAAAAGGTTTTTAAGAGAAGATTGTCTTTTAATTTTGAAATTCGAGTATATTAGATAAATATTAAGACTGATTTCACAATACTAGAACATAATGTCAAGATAAATATTAAGATATCATCTATTGACAGAATAATTTACAAAGATGATAAATCACACAGAAGATAAATAACACAATTAATTGATAACTCAATTCAGTGCAACAACATCTACTATGGGGGTATCCAAGCCAGAAAAGAAATTCACTATAATAATATTAGTTCAAAGCTTAAACAATTCTAGTTTACAACTTATCACCTAATCACTATCTATGTAATTTCTACCTAGGAACCTTCTAGATATGAGAATACTCTCTCACTTTTTACAATCACCTCAGTAATAAAAATAATGACCAAAATTGAAGAACATACTTTTAATTAAATATATTATATTTTTTGCTTAAAAACTCATGAGTGAATCACAATTAACAATCAATCAAACTCAATGCATCAAACAAGATACATGAGTGACATGCAAAAATAAAGAACAATATAAAAACTCTCAAAATCCCAAGACTCTTGAATAATAAAGTTTCCCCTTATTTTTCAATTGTTATATTAGGTTTAAGTTATTTTTCCTTTTAAATTTCTCAGTTGTCCATGGACTTCAGATTCTTCACTTAATTTGTTATAGATCCACAAACTGATGGTTTCACAAATTATGCAAAAAAATCTCTTTGAAATATGGAACAAAAAAACCACAAGTTTTATAATTGTCTCAACATCCAATTTTAGAAACTAATGCACAGTTGAAGATAAAATTGCTTGTTCCAAAAATATCATTCTTGGTGTGTGTAAATATGTGAGATATATCCATAGAGAATTTCATAGAATCAAATCAAATCCTTCCAAGAAGAGCAGTAACATTTGCTATATTATTTGATTAAGAAGTCATGATATCTTGATAATCTTAGTGTCATACATTATTTTACCAAAATTATTGTCAATCATAAAATTATAGACCTAACAAATCTTCTCAATCAATGAGGGAATTATCCCTCCAATTAGATATAATTCCTCAATGTTATGATCATATTATTATTGACACTTATTGTTGTATTACTCTGATTAACAAGCCATTATTAATATATAATTATTAGTTCCCATATTGGGATATTCTCATCAATATGAACATGATTCTTGAATTGTATATACTAAGTCATGTTAGTATACATGTGTTAGCTGAAGGTTTCGATATTTGATGAAAGTTAATTTGAGAAAATTGTGTTTTAAAGGATGGCATGAAACTTGGTTATATAAGGTTATTTTATAAAGTTTATTCTTATAGTTCGATATGTCGAAGTGCAAATCAGATTCAAAAGAATGAAATCATATTTCAAGATATGTGAAGATCGCTTCGACAGTCACGTTAGATGAATTCAAAGCTTCGATTGAGAAAAGTTTAAAATTCAAACTGATGCATTTTTGCCAGGAGGATGCATGGAAGCGTCAAAATTTATGCGTTTGAAAACGTCGAACGTGGCGTGATTTTATACAAAGACCGTTAGGGTCGAATTAGTATAAATAGGAGTCTTAGATGTTAGGATTCAGGATGTTCATATTGTATACAAATCATTTAATACTCAAAGTATCGGAGCGAGAGAAAATATTTTGCTGATAATGTATATGTAAGAACACCATCTGTTTATTTAAAGTCATTTTCTCAATACAAAATTACTTTAATCACTTTCTTATTCTTTTTCTTTCCAGTCAAGTCTTTAACAAATTTTGTTGAACTTTCCTTATTAGCATTGTCTTTACATTCTTGCAAATATCCAGATCATTTCCTTTAAGTTACATTTAGGATTTATAGTTAAACTTTAATATCTTAGGATAATCATAATCACATAGAAAGATCTTGTTATTATTCATATAATGCCAAACTTTGAGTCATATTGTAAAAACACTAAGACACATGTCCCAGGATCAATCTAGTCGATCTTGTAAGTTACCAAAGCGTAGAGTTTGGAAGACTAGCGATTGTTTGTCAGAAATCACTGGTAAACAAATTGGCACGCCCAGTGAGACCGTGTCGAAGTGTTTTAGTTACATTGCTTATGTTCTTTCAATTTGGGTCTTTATAATCTTTTATGAACTTATTCTTGCCATTAGTATATGAACCTTAGGAGTGGTAAGATAACTAACAATAACCAATCATTATCCAAAAGAAAACAGACTAGAAAAATGGTTAATATTACCAATAGTGAAGGTGGAAAAAATCCTCCACAAGGATCAGGCACAATCGTTGCGAGTTCGATGAATGCGTCAACTGCAATCCCTGGTTCACAAGCCATTTCCACATTCACAGGATTCATGGCTACAAATAGTTCTATACCTGGGTCCACAGGGCCCATACCCATGAACAATTCGACAACCATGCCTATCTCTGCAAGCATGACAGAGATTGTAAGTACGAAGTGCGCCTAAGAGGAGGGGGGGGGGGGGGGGTAAATTAGGTACTTTAAATTTTTTCTAGTTTTAGTGATGATGGATATTATTTTTCTGGTTTATGGTGAGTTTATGAAAGATTAAAGTGCAGAAAAATAAAGAGACACAAGCGATATATCCTGGTTCCCTTCACAGTCTGAGAGTACTCCAGTCCCCTTTCAACATGAAAGAGATTTCCTTATAGTTGGCAAACTTAAACAAGAACTACCAAAACCAAGAACAATCCTTTTGGACCAAGAACAATCCTCTTGGATTTTTCACTATGTCAACAATGAGAACAATCCTCTCAAAGTGACTTTACTTGTATCCGATAATCCTGGAAAAACAAGATTTCAAAATCACTTGAACTTATTTTCAACAATCCTGAAAAATAAGCAAGAATAGCAATATTTGATTTGAGTGAGTTTGTGTAGCAATGATCACTTTGAGTGATTTTATCAATGAATTGATCTTCTCTTCCGATAATAATAGTATACAATGACTCAAGATATATATAATGCTCAAAGTTTTCTGGTTGACAATATGTGAAAGTGTGCAGAAAACTTGTGTATGAAAGTGTATAAAAGCTTGAGTTTGATTTTTTGAAAATTCAGAAAATATGATTGGAAGAGGTTCTTAAAATGATTTTGAAAATCAGTATTTATATGTTCATAGCACACTTTTGAAACAACATATAATTATGCAAATGAATCATGAACAATTGCCAAGATTAAGTTAAAGGTTTCCATGAAATGGTGTTATGAACAGGCATGAGTAAAGCTGATGTTTTTCAAAAACGTTCAGCATGCAATCAATTGCACCCTTGTGTAAATCGATTGTACGGGGTTTCAACAGCTAAAAATTTCAAATATTTTGAGTGAGCAATCGATTGCACAAGTGTGTAAATCGGTTGCACTTGAAGTTAGTAGCAAAAATTGATTGAGAGCAATCGATTGCACAAACATGTAAATCGTTTGCACTTAGAAACAGTAGTTAACATTTTGAAAACGTGAAGCATGTAATCGATTGCACCAATATGCAAATCGATTGCACATAAGTAAAAATTGATTTTTTCTTAGAAAACTTGAGAAAAAGTTTGGACAAGATAAAATATTTCTTTTGACCATTGAGCATCTATGTCTTAAGTTCAAAGTAAGTATTATCATTATACCTTGAAATTTGCTAAGTGCTTGAACCAAAGACTTTATCTAAAGATGCTTTTAGCTTGATCAATAATCTTTTCCTTCTTATCAAAATGGTTTGTATTCATCAAAACAAATGTTCATTTGAGAAGCTTGATTTTACATAGATCCCTTCGAATACTCAAACTGGCCATGTATTGACATATGTTGGAAATCAAACTCAACCTACAACACCTAGGCCACCAGGGTTTAAAAGTTTTAGGCCTTGGAGGGAGCAACCCCAATATTGGATGCCAACTTCCTTTATGTCAAGATTACACAATAATACATCCACACATACACAACCTACCATGACAACCTTTTCGCCAGTGCAAAATTCTGGTTCTGGTATGAACCATGTGGGTCGAAGCATACAGAACCAAGGATTTTGCACTAGAGAAAAGGTTGTCATGGTAGGTTGTGTATGTGTGGATGTATTATTGTGTAATCCTGACATAAAGGAAGTTGGCATGATCAATGATGATTGAAGATTGAACTTAGGTCAAAGTTGATGAAGACTTGTTAGAGGATTGTTAAAATCAAAGCCTCATAACAATAAGCTTCAAAGGTTTTGAACCATGGTTCAATAATTAATCATACTTGGACAATTTCAAGCCTAAAGCTTGGGCCACAAATGATCACTTAAAATGAAAGAAGAAAAGGATAAGAGGAAGAGGGAGGGAATGATAAG